CTGGCAGCGATGGCTTATGATCGCTATGTGGCCATTTGCAACCCACTGCAGTACCACACCATGATGTCCAAGAAACTCTGCATTCAGATGATCACAGGGGCCTACATAGCTGGAAACTTGCATTCTATTATTCAAGTGGGATTTCTGTTTAGGTTAACCTTCTGTGGGTCTCATCTAATCGATCACTTTTTTTGTGACGTTCTTCCATTATACAGACTCTCCTGTGTTGACCCTTATATCAATGAATTGATGATACTTATCTTTGCTGGGTCAATTGAAATGTCCACTATTACTGTAGTTGTAATCTCTTATCTCTGCATCCTTTTCACAATATTCACAATGAAATCCAAAGAGGGACGTGGTAAAGCCTTATCAACCTGTGCATCCCACTTTCTCTCTGTCTCAATATTCTATGGCTCTCTTCTCTTCATGTACATTAGACCAAGTTCAATTAAAGAAGGGAATAAGGATATACCTGTTGCTGTTTTTTATACTGTAGTAATTCCTTTATTAAATCCTTTTATTTATAGTCTAAGGAATAAAGAAGTAATAAAGGTAATTAAGGGAATTATGTCAAAGAAATAAGGTGTAACAAATTAAAACAAATGTTTCCTGTGGAAATTTGATTATAATTCGACAAAAGCTTTTTCAAAATCAAGGCATACTGTAAAGGTGGAAGGTGAAAACTTTGCATATAAAGATACAAAACATGATGTATGAATTCAGATAAATTTATTTATCCAAATAAGTCCAGAAATTAGATAATCTATTTAAGTGTACTCCAAATCTAAGCTGCTATGAGTGAAATAAATCATTATTTTGGGGGACACAAATTTATTCAGAGTGTAGTCACCCTAGTAACTAATTTTGCTAGAGTGCAATTGCATTGTTCAACAAATGCAACCAACTCGAGGAACAGAAGTCAGTACACGTAAAGGCAGTGTCCGTTTAAAATTTATTGCAAATTTCTTGAATCGCAAAACAAAACTATGTAAACTCACTTATATTCTAGGTTCTCAACTAATTTTCCACTCTTAAACCTCACTATCTGACAGAATTACACCGTATGCTTGCACTTGATTCTGAACTTTCTTTGAATTTATTAAGAGGGTATGTTCAAATACGGGTCCATGCTGGAATTTTACTTTCCAGTCAAGGCCATTTTCATCCTTAGTGATAATCACTTACAGTCTCAAGCTCTGTGAAATTAGGTATATATATCAAGGGGGTTTATCTATTTCTTAATGTAAGAGAGTTTATTAATATTGAAATCCCTATGGATTTGAAAGTTTTCATGTAATTTGACTTCTTTTGTCCTTCATGTACAATTGTGCAATTTCCGAATGTATTGATTAAATCAAGTTGTTTTTGCCCTTGGATGACTCCTTATCTTGTTTATTATTATGAACAGCTCTAATCCTTATTCCAAGGAGTATTACTGATATATTTATATATTTCATAGAAAGATAGAGTTGCTGTTCAAGCTTATATGAAGCAGGAAATATTGAAAATTCTTGATATGTAAACAAAGGCATTTATTTATCACTTCTAAGTACAAATTCACGCAGTTCAAGTGTGTGGCATTCTGATAGTGCAACTGGATGCACAGGGAAAGCTTCTAGGTCCTCGTCCTGGAACCTCACTGAGCAAACCGGCCTGTGTTCTAAATCAGTTTAGGCCTGGACAGATTGCAGTATCAAGACACTCTTGGGCCTCTCTTTGTGTGTGTGTTTCTCTTTCCTTCTGCCTTTCTCTTTGTAATGGAAGAAAGAAACTTAAAAAAAATAAAAAGAAAGAAAAATTATTTACATCAATCTACAGTCTGCTAGTCACTGCACTAGACTTTTCATGTCTACCTAACAAATAGGCATTATATTTTATCCTCTTCCTCAATAGACATCTCAGACTTTGACATATTGCATAGAAAAATAAAGGCATACTTGTTATTTTAGCTTTGGTAATGCAGAGATTTAATTATTTAATTAGTTTTTGTTATAAAACAAAACTCTGAAGGTGGCTACAGAGTTGACTTTTTTTCAAACATTTTTTGTCTTCAACAATCAGTATTCTCACAAATATTAGAAAAGACACAACTCTTTTCAGTGTTTCCAACTAGGTAGAAAAGGTGAAAACATCTGTCTGCTTTTGGAAATAAGTGTGACACTGAGAGCGGAGGAGGGAGAGAACAGTGAATGGCCCAGGGTCAACACGGTAGCAAACTGTGAGGCAAGTAAAGGTGTAAGTGGGGCAGTTTACTGAGGACCTTTAAGGACACTCTAAGGAATCCAAATTCATGTAGAAGCCCCAGACATGGGTATTTCCTGACAGCATTAGCCGTGTGACTGTATCTTTCAGAAAACTTATCTGGCTATTGATTAGAAAGATTTTGTAAGGAAAGAGACTAGAAGCTAATGAAACTAACTTTAATAAATCATACATTACATAATAGGAGTTAAAACTAAGGAATACACTAAAAAAGGATAATAGTGCACAAATGGAAGCAACACTTCAAAGAAAACAAACAGAAAATTGCAACTGTTAGATAATAAAAAGAAAGACTCCCTCTTCTTGTAAGTACTAACCATGCTATAACTGAATTCATATTACCAGCATTCCACAGCACCTGACACATTGGTATATTTATAAAAGATGTTCCTCAATTCATTTTTAATATAATTATGTAAATTAACATGTAATAGGTTTATTATTTTCCTTTTGAAATGGATTAAGAAATATTCTTTAAAATCTCATTTTCATTTCTAATATAGCAAATATTTATAGATATAACCCACATAAATAAAAGTTCTTAAGTACTTTTTAAGTGTATTAAGTAATCCAGAGATCAAATCATTTGAGAAGCCTGAATTAGACAGACATTATACCCTTTGAATCCACCTTCTATTTCAGTGGACATTTTTGGTTGTTAGATTTTTATTCATTGATTTAATTTCCCTTTTCTAATAGGACCATGGATTTTGTAACGTTTTTCTGTATCACCCAACCCCGACCTTCGCATAACTGAATCCCAGATATCTGTTGATGGAGAATATGTTATTAACATTTTATTTATCTGACTATCTCTTTATGTTATGAACAATGAACGCAAATATATTAACATGCATGTAATACATATCTACACTGTCAATGACATCATGACACTTTGTTCATAAATACTTTAATACAATCTCTAAGACCCCAAAAGCACAATCAATAATCCCAAAAGTTGACAAGCTGGATTATATCAGATTAAGAAGTTCCTGTATGGCAAAAGACACAGTAATTAGTGTGAATCGACAGCCCTTAGAATGGGAAAATATTTTTGTAAAGTATGTGTTAGATAAGGGATTGATAACCACAATACACAAGGAACTCAAACAGCTGTCCCCAGAAAAAGATGATTAACCCTATTAAAAGATGGGAGAATGAGTTGAAAAAAACACTTTCTAAGAAAGAAATACGAATAGCAAAAAGGCATATGAAAAATTGCTCATCATCCCTCATTGTAAGGGAGATGTAGATCAAAACCACAATGAGATAAACTAATCCCAGTCAGAATGACTAAGATGAAAAATACAGAAAATTATAAGTGCTGGCAGAAGTGTAGTGAAAGAGGATCTCTCCTACACTGCTGATGGGAATGTAAATCGGTCCAGCCACTGTGGTGAACAATCTGGAGATTCCTTAAAAACCTAGAAATAGAATTATCATTTGATCCAGCAATACCACTTCTTGGTATCTACCCAAAGGACAGAAGAATTCTTAATCAGACAAGTGCTTGCACATAGAAGTTTATTGTGGCATTATTCACAATTGCTAAGACATGGAACCAACCCAAATGCCCATGAGCAGATGAATAAATTGAAATGCTGACACATATACACTATGGAATACTGCTCAGCCATAAAATACAACAAGACCTTGGCTTTTGACAGAAAGTGGATGAATATGGAAGATTTACTGCTGAGTGAAGCAAGCCAGGAGATGAAGGAGAGACACTGTATGTCTCCACTTAATATACACTGAGTGTCTGCACTCTATGGCTGAAACTCAATGATTGAAGGCTATAGAAACTAAGTAAATGGTTGTGAACACCAGATAGAGTGTGGAAACGGGGCGGGTAAAGGAGTAGAAGAAGATAATTTTCTAGTATGGTGAACTGGACTGGTGAGAAATGTACACATGTTGGAATATTCACTTTGTAAGCTGGGTAGCATGACTGAATGCATAAAAGAAAAAGAAAAAGAAAAAGAAAAAATTAAAAATTAACACACACTTTAACACAATCCAAAAAAAACATTGTCTATATAGTCATGTTATCATTACTATTGCCAAGAAACTTAATATCAACTAATACACAGTTTCTGTTCAACTTTTTCTCAGTAGGCCCAAAATTGTTCCCTGTAGCAATTTCTTACTTAACAAAGATTCAATTAAAGGTCACAATTTAGTTTCAGTTAATATATTTTAGTCTCCTTCAATATAGATGAATACTCTTGCATTTTTTTTCTTTTATGATGTTTAAATTTTAATGTGTTTGGTCATTAATCTTATAAAATATCCCTAATTTGTATTTTTCTTGCTTTCTATTGACTAAATCCAACTTTGGCAACACATGTACTATGCATTTCTTATTCATCATGGGAGACTCATAACATCAGATTGTCTTGTTACTTGTGATGCTAATTCTGGTAACTGGGTCAAGGCAATGTCCATCAGATCTTTCAAAGGAAACATAACGTGTCTCTTTACTCATTAAAATCTCAACAATGGGGTAATACAATGATATTGCTGCCTAATAATTTTTCTTCAATGATTTTGACATCAATCGGTAATCATTAGAATAAGTTATTCTGTTTACTGGAAGAATCATGGTGATTTTTTCTGCAGTTAGTACCTGGCTTTATTCAAAGACATTTCCCTGAAAGGATGTTTCTTTTCATCTACTTCTTAAAATTTTTAGAACATTTTAGGGACAGCAGGGGACATGGTGGTTAAGACACTTGATTTCCACATGACCAACAATAGAACAATTATTGGACCTATCAGCCTGAAAATCATGTTGTGTACATGTGCAAGTGTGCCCCAAATCCCAGAAGCAGAATGGAGGGGACGAAATGACAGCATGGCTATCCCCCTGTAGTGGGGGCGTGATTTCTCACTTTCTGTCTCTTTCTCTCTCCAGCAAGTTTATGTACCCTATGACAAAAGCCTAAGGAAAAAAATAGAACATCTTTTATTACCTAGGAACTTACTAAGATAATACTGAAAATTCCTATATGTGCCGTACTTATTGCCCTATAAAAGTAACATCCTATGTTAGTAAGATACATTTGTTATAGGTACCAGCAGATGGAGTAATGGTTACGTCACTGAACTCCCATGTAGTTGACCGCAGTTTGAGTCCTAGTCTCAGCAGCTTAAACTCATGCCAGGGGTGTATATATGAGTGCCCAAGATCACAAGAGGAGAATGGAGAAGGGATTGCAATGTGGCCATCTCCCCTAGGGTGTAATTCATCTCTTTCAGTCTCTCTGTCTCTAGCTGTTTTTTCAGGGAGCACAGGCACCCTTTAGCAAAAATCTCCC